ATTTATTATGGTTTATAATGGCAAATGATACTTTGAATATTACATGTTAATAACTTGATTGGAATTATAACCTTGAGTTGACAGTTTGATACTTTGAAAATTTGGAGTCAGCCCTACCCCCACGGGCTGTAGGGTGGGGCTCAAAGGAGTCACTCAGTGTGCTAAAATTTCTTCATTTCCCTTGTTTAGAATCAGAGGTGCTAGTTTCAAATACTTTTTAATCTGAAATCTGTATGCTAGATATTGAATAAGGTGGTTTTATTGTTTTTTGTCACTTTGAATAATATTTCTGTTCATATTAAAAACAAAAATCAACTCTATGTATAAATATATCAGGTGACCGTTAAGGCCCATGGGCCTCTTGTTATCTAATAATAGTCTTCTAAGCACAGAATTGCTGTCAGTTTGCAAAACAGCTGTAATTAAAGTTCTCAGCTGTATAAATGTATGCTTCTTAGATATTAACCCGATTTGTCCACTCAATGACCCCGACTGCCCTTAGGAACGAGATCATCACGTGCGTTCCATATCAACCGTACCCTGCTGACCCTTAACCCACACGCACAGGGGACTGATAACTTAGACAGTGTATGTAGCTTTGAACTGATGGGTACGATGTATTATTATTAGATATAGTGCCACTGCGTGCTGGCCTTTTACCGAGCGTTGATCAAAACCCCTAAATCGTACGTATTATAATACTTCCCACACACCAGGAGAGGTCCGACATGAACACTATATCTATGCTATCAGGCTCCTGTGTTTATACACCGATGTACACACCCACAGAAACATGCGGGGGTCTCGCTTCATAATATTTACCTATATACATATATCATTATCTCGGTATACAAACCAGAAAACATGGGGGAGGATTATCGCTGTTTAAACAAACCGGAAAACGATTTAACAATTTGCCGAAGTAAACGCAGGTTTAGAAAAAGATTGCCAGAATACAAATTGTATCTCATTTGTTCCGTATTATATACATTTCTGTCTGATACAAAGACAGCATTAAACAGGTATAAATCTGCTATACTAACAGAAAACTATTCGGTACCGTAATCAAACTTACAACATTCACCTTAGCACTTTTTGGAGGAAGATGCGCGTGCGGTGAGACCTGTTAGCCTTTGAGGTACATACAAGTGCGGTGAGACCTGATAGTTTTTGAGGTAGATGCGCGTGCGATGAGACCTGCTTGCCTTTGTTGTGGTGGCAACTGTTTGATCACGCGCAAACAAACCGTTACTAAGATACCACCACGTGCAGCCATAAGCATATACGCTTGTTAAGTTTTAAACTAGAAACAGGGTTCACTGAAGAGCGGAACTAGAAAGTGTTCACCCCATTGCATAATAACATACAGGTTTCTGTCAGAAGAAAATTTCAATGTCTACTGATGTATTACAAGTTCTCACTAAATAGGAATTGTACCCAAGTAGACAGAAGACATACCGTCAGACCAGTTTACTTACTAATTCATTGTGCCTTCACACTCAACACAACGTCATAACAGTTAATAAACCGTCAACAGACCGTTAAACTGTTCAAAGTGTCAAGTACATTCCTTCTTTAATCAACATATCTCAGATAATCTACACCATAACAAAATGTCTCTCACAGAACCCTTCCAAACACCTCGACAACATCATTAATTCAAGCGATCAAGACAACCTTCCAATCAACCTGACAAAAAGTTTCATTTCAGTCGCTATAACAACCCTCCTTATCACCATGACAACAAGACTCATTCTAGTCGCTATAACAACCCTCCTTATCACCGTGACAACATGACTCATTCTAGTCGCTATAACAACCCTCCTTATCACCATGACAACAAGACTCATTCTAGTCGCTATAACAAACCTCCTTATCACCCTGACAACAAGACTCACTCTAGTCGCTATAACAACCCTCCTTATCAACCTGACAACAAGACTCATTCTAGTCGCTAAAACAATCCTCCTTATCGCACTGACAACAAAACTCAGTCTAGTCGCTATAACAACCCTCCTCATCACCCTGACAACAAGACTCATTCTAGTCGCTATAACAACCCTCCTTATCACCGTGACAACAAGACTCATTCTAGTCGCTATAACAACCCTCATTATCACCCTGACAACAAGACTCATTATAGTCGCTATAACAACCTTCATTATCACCCTGACAACAAGACTCATTCTAGTCGCTATAACAACCCTCCTTATCGCCCTGACAACAAGACTCATTCTAGCCGCTATAACAACCCTCATTATCACCCTGACAACAAGATTATTATAGTCGCTGTAACAACCCTTATTATCACCCTGACAACAAGACTCATTCTAGTCGCTATAACAACCCTCCTTATCGCCCTGACAACAAGACTTATTCTAGTCGCTATAACAACCTTCATTATCACCCTGACAACAAGACTCATTCTAGTCGCTATAACAACCCTCCTTATCGCCCTAACAACAAGACTTATTCTAAACGCTTTAACAACACTACTTATCGCCCTTACAATAAGACTCTTTCTAGTTGCTATAAAACCCCTCCTTATCGCCCTGACAACAAGACTAATTCTAGTCACTATAACAACCCTCCTTATCGCCCTAACAACAAGACTTATTCTAAACGCTTTAACAACCCTCATTATCACCCTGACAACAAGACTCATTCTAGCCTCATAACAAACCTCCTAATCGCACTGACAACAAGACTAATTCTAGTCGCTACAACAACCCTCCTTATTGCAGTGACAACAAGACTCATTCTAGTCGCTATAACAACCCTCCTTATCTCCCTGACAATAAGACTCATAATAGTCGCTATACAAACCCTCCCTATCACCCCGTTCACCAGACTCTTTCCAGTTGCTATAACAACCCTCCTGATAACCCTGACAACAAGACTCATTCTTGTCGCTTTAACAACCCTCCTTATCACCCTGACAATAAGACTCATTCTAGTCGCTACAACAACTCTTCTTATCACCCTGACAACAAGACTCATTCTAGTTGCTATAACAACAAACCTCCTGATAACCCTGACAACAAAACTCATTCTAGTCGATATAACAACCCTCCTTATCACCCTGACAACAAGACTCATTATAGTCGCTATAACAATTCTCCTTATCACCCTGACAACAAGACTCATTCTAGTCGATATAACAACCCTCCTTATCACCGAGTAAACAAGACTCACAACAGAACCCAACACCATAATGTAGTAACCTGTCATCCTCACAACACACTATCATGTAGTAACCTGTCATCCTCACAACAACCCTCACACCATCATGTAGTAACCTGTCCTCCTCACAACAACCCTCACACCATCATGTAGTAACCTGTCATCGTCACAACAACCCTCACACCATCATGTATTGTAGTAACCTGTCATCCTCACAACAACCCTCACACCATCATTTGGTAACCTGTCATCCTCACGACAACCCTCACACCATCATGTAGTAACCTGTCATCCTCACAACAACCCTCACACCATCATGTAGTAACCTGTCATCCTCACAACAACCCTCACACCATCATTTAGTAACCTGTCATCCTCACAACAACCCACTCAACATACATATTGAAATGAATCATCCTCCCCACATCATAAACAAGCCCACCACCATTATAATAACCACCCCCTCCTATCCTCGTGTAGTTGTTAGTGTGTTAGTGTAGACAAGGAAATACCATATACCTGTGTTCCGGGGTGATTTCATACTTGTCTCTATGCATTTTACCAAGCGATACTCCAAGGCTGTGCTAGTAATATTCCCGTGCTCTTATGGTGCGTTCTTATTATCAGTATTCCAGCAGAGTTAACACATCCAACTCATAATAACTAGAACACTTGTCAGCTCTTTAAAAAACAGGGGCAATGTTTTGGATAGACTGCATCCGAAACACCGGGCCATAGGAAACGTAGTGCTTACTCACAGCACTGCACGCACGCGCATCAAGTGTATGTAGTCCACCATCTGTATTTACTATCAGAGAAGGGCGCCTACACGTGGTAGGAGTTACTCAGGGGCTTACAATCTTATTTTTATTGTATTGTAAAAATATCTGAAGGGAAAAGAAAACGAATCTTCAGCGAATTGTTGTGTGAGTGAGAAGAGAATAGTCGCGTTATTTTCATCATAGGGAACGAAAACTTCTACTAGAGACATTTCAACAACCCTTCGCAATGGTAGTCAATAGCAACGATGACGCTTTAGTTTTCTTGAACATTCTGAAAATGTCTCAGCCGACTATGGTTGTTTTTGAAGCTTTAAATTACCTTTAGGTTAATGGAGGCAGAACCCCGGGTCCCTTTATCGCCTCAACAGACGTGAAGTGGGGAGGGGTTGTTTAATGTTCTACCTGCCATTAATGATTTCTAACCTATAAGCAGTGACCCGCCTGTTACTTAAGTGGGGGCCATTGGATATATCATTGGCCGCTCTAACTGTAAGCTAACAAAGGGCAGGTGTGTTATCGACGTGTAATGACGCACTGCTGCCTTTGTAATAAACAAACGGCGTGCGAGTACGGCAGTTCGGAATACCTGGCGCTAGGATTATTAAACTCCAGAACATCGGCATGTAGACCATCAACATCAAACTGGCACTTCTTTAACAGCTTCACTTATGTACTGATTGGATCTGGAGTGAAAAACGGTTTTCTCATTTTCTTCATGATTTTGTCTATTTCAGCTGTGTTTGAACCGTAACAACACATAATATAAAAAAAAAAAAAAAAAAAAAAAAAAAAAAAAAAAAAAAATTATGGTAAATGTTTATTATTGACAATTTTCACTGTAACTTGCATGGTAGTTTTGTTGTTGTTGGTTTTTTTTAATCATTCTTCGATCATTTTCGTTAGACTCCATAATTCATCAGACATCCTTGTGCCATTGTATTTTGTATTTAATAACCAAATGACCTAGTATATGAGAACTTTCGGTTGGCTAAAACGATTCCGGAAATAAATCGACACAAAACTTGCAGCAATGAGGAGGAAGCAGACCAGAAGTATGACATTGAGGAAGAGAAGGGGCCTGAGCCCTGACTTGGACCGCGGAGCGTCAACCTTGGGGTCCACCATGTACCCAACAGAGTCCGAATTGTCCACATCTACGTTACTTCCGGTGTCATGCCTAGTTCTAAGTGTTTCAGGTATTACACTGAATCCAACAGTTACCATATTTGAGAACTCGCCTTTATTTCCAAAGTCGTCTATACCTCGAATAAGAAATGCAAATCCTTCATGTTTGATCAGAAACAGATCCGTCACATTAATGGTCAAATATTCAGAGGTGCCAGCCGGCAACGGTTTTGTTGTACTTCCGGTTACAATGGCGAAATCCGGGACGCTATGCGAGTCAGCCTTTAACTTCAAAAGATCCAAACTACTTTGTTCATACTTAATGTCATACTTAGCGGCTGAAATATAAGAATGAAATGTACAAGTAATTAGATTCCGTTTCCGGTTGACAAGATTACGATTTTTTTTATTTTCTAACTGTCTAATTGTAATTGGTTACTGTAATCCTACTAGACTTCTAAAGCCAACGATATTACACTTGTACTAACCGTGGAGAGAGTGCAATTAATATCGAGAAAGATTGGTACCACACACTATTAGGGCTTTCAGTCGACCATTGAGAGTATGTTTTTGACTCTTGGGTTTCAAAGGACAGGTTTATTTGACCTGTGTTATTACTCGCCATGCTTAAGGAAAATCTTTGACTTCTAAAATTTCTAAATGCCGATGGTCAAATGTCACCAGTACCTGTCCCGTGGTCTAAGTCGTCACCAGGCGCCGTCCACGACAACGACACCGTCATATTAATGTCTGACTTCTGAACAACATGCAGGTCTATTATCCGTGATGGAGGGTATACGTCATTTCCGCCGGATGTAGCAGGTGTCGTGGGCCACGCTTTATCCCCTGTTTGGTCCGTGGGGAGGTACACGGAGCCGCCGTGAGCTGATCGGCTGATACTGTATGTATCTACAATACAGCAACGTTATGGTGGTCTGTCTAAAACGAGTATGGAATTATATGCATTGTCTTTCCTTCACTTGCAATAAATGACATATACTTTATCAATCTACATTTTCCATCTTTAAATTACAACTGGACTGATACGAGTTGAATCAACATTTATGTTTTTGAACTCATCGATTTGTTATTTGGTAAATTATAGGCGTAATCAGGGACATTAATACAATGACAAAATAACACAAACTGTTTCTGTCTGGTTTGTCCCCGCTGCCTGTCCTGTGAGTAACAACGGTTCCGTGGCTGTTTATGATGTCCACAGTTAGCTGGTAGTCACCACGTCCTGTCAAGTGTGGGAAATAGCGAGAGTATATCCCGTCATCTTTTATGATATCAGCGCCTATAACAAACCATCAAAAATGTCAAGACATACAAAACAAATGTACTTAGTGGTGTTGCGTATTGATATTATTATGGAGAGGGTTCATATAAGTTGTATAAATCCGGTTGCGTTATGGCAACAAAATTGTTTAAACAAACAAAAAATGATATTATTTTATTGCTGGACAATATATCATTTAATAGAATTAGAGTATTGACTGCCATATCGGTAAGGTGGAATTGCATCGTAAAACCATTTTATCCTCAACAGAAATAAATAGTGGTTTTAGTACATTACATATGACTGCCTATCATTGCTTACAGAATTGGAAAATATTGGGTTAATGTTGTTGATGTGTGTTAATGATGGGAGTCTCTTAGTGGTACCAAGCAGCAACAAATAGGTCGTGTTCTACTAACTTAAGAGTACATGCTTATGTAGATATCCAATCAACACACTTGGTTGTGTCACGTGGTGTCATGAAATGATATTAGTAGCTTACCAGATCCCTCATCAAATAACAGCATTTTGTATGGTTTCGCATGTTCTCCATCTTCAACACCTGGTCGAAAAACAGTGGCGATGACCTGTAACCCCGTGACTGAATGTTGTCCTTGTGTGACGTCAGCATATGCCGCCATTTTAGGTGGCACCAGGTCTTTATTTAAAAACAGCCGAGCCTTCAGGATAATTGGTACGCTGTTTTTCGCTGTAGAGTTTGATGATACTACCAGAGAGACGGTCGACGTACTGTGCCTACCTTTCATTCGGAACTCCCATTTACCTACCTAAAACGTCATACATATCACAACATATACAAACTTGACATATCAACTTAACTCATAGTGATACGTTTGTTACCATTAGAAGGTTATGTTTATTAAAACCAGCCAAATGTACAATGGAGCCTACCACGAGGTGAACATATTGCACGTATTTCATTTGATGTTGAAGGAAGCGAACAAACTAGCTTCAATGAGTCTGCCAAAAATGTAGATATTATAAAATTTGTTGATAGATCACTTTTTTTGCTATCAGTAAGGATTTACAACATTCTTTGATATGAAAGCATACCTGAACTTGCTTTAGCAGGGCACTCCCACATAATCCGCCGTTTCCATTCGGCTTCATTATTCACATTTAAGACGTTAACTTTGAAGTTTAACACACGTAATTTAATCCCTGAACATCGCAGGGTCCCATTATATCATAAAAATTATCTTCAACCTAAGTTTACCTCGGCATCATCATATTTTAATTTCAGTTTCATCATTTTGAGCTCTGGGTTGATTTCTGTTTCTGGTGAATCCTCGTTGTAATGCTTGCTACTCGGTGACGTCACTTCCAGAAATGGCTGCTCTCCGGTGTAAGTAACAGTAAGAGAGAGATCACCATGGAGACTGGTATCAACAGAGAATGTGTCTCTGTAATCCTGTCCGAACTGGATGCTTTTGGTCACACTAAACAGCTTAAACGTAAAGGATATGATATTTACCGCAGGAACGTGTAAATGTATACCTGAAATATACAGTAGGCTACTCATCTTTGATTTCATTTAAAATGAAACTTGTGAAGTTGAACAAAATGATACCGGTATATTTCGGTAGTCGATTGGATGCTCAGTGGAATATTTGAGAATATACAATTTCTAATACCCACCAAACTGGTGGTATTTTTTTACTTAAAAAATAATAAATGCACTTTCATTGACACACTGTCAACACAGAAGATGTCGACTGTAAGGGAGACTTTTCTCTGAAACTGACGTCATAATCTACACATGACGAAAATACTTTTATCTTTTCTAACTATGTAACGCAATCCAGATGAACAAAATGCTAATAAAAACACGAGATCCTTTTCGCTTGTATTCACCAGACATATTTCGAATGGACACGTGTCTACGTGAATGGACTCTTGTTCACGTACCTTGACTGTGTAGGCGTCCGTCCCTTGTGTCCTCTGGATGACGTCATAGACAGCGTCTACGTGCGTCATCGACTCTGGATACCTGTGACTGTAATACACGGGTGTCCCTGTAGAGAGGAAACAACCTAGTGATACTAGTGACGGCGTTAAGGGAGATTAACATGTTAGTCTCGGTCTGACTAATAAATCAATACAGACAATTACAACAAGAGGCCCATTCGGCCTGTATGTTTACTTGTTTTTAATTCACATTGGAAACGTATCTTTCATCTTTGACCTTCAAAGTGGGTCAAGGCCAAATGAATTTAAACAATTTTCCTAGCAAGGTAGCTAACACTGCAGACAAATCATCATTATTCTACACCATCAGAATCTTTGCAGAGATATTTTGACTCGGTTCAACTTTTCAACCTCATCCTAGCAAACTGTAGTCAAACCGCTCTGGACTTTAATGACTCGAGAAAAACTTGTTTGCGAATATTAAGATATTTCACCTATGTTACCTTAAAAATGGGTCTCTGAGATGCATGAACACATTGAATCATAAAAGAAGATGATTAAGGTAATTTATTTCATCAAACTTTGTGGCCCTGTAGTCCAGCATGCAACATGCCAAACATCATGACTATAGGACTCTTGGTTATTCAAAAGAAGTTGTTTTAAAATGTTTCATACATTTGATCCCTGTGAAATTGAATTTGTTATTCATCGGAACAAATTAAGTAGCTTTTCATCCCAGTATTTTTCAGAATAAGTTGTTTCAAGACGACGACGGACGCTGCGCCATGGTATAAGCTCAGCTGCTCTTCGGCAAGTGAACGATCATCGTCGATACTCCAGGGGTTACGCTCAGCGTAAGTGATGGTAACCCCTTGAATATCGAAGATCGTGAGCTAAAACTACCTAACATAAAATAACGTCTCTCTCGACAACCAAATAAGGAGTTTAAAAGAACGTGGATGTACATATATATCTCAGTCATGGAAACTACATCCTGGCTGGAGCGACACTCGACTTCAAAGCCTGTCATCCTTTACTGTTACGTGACCGCGAGATTCTTTTGATGTACATCAAAGGGTCGAACTAGTCTTCTTGTCTCATCAACAACGTGGCGCACACTGAGCCTTCAATTATGCTATGACATATTCCAGGGATGCAGAGGGCGTCAGTTAGCGTAACCCATGGATTAGCGAGGATGCGGAAAGTATAGATACGTTGGAAGAGAATGGGCCTGCTGTATCATAGGATCGTCTGAGGCGACTAATGGGGATTGGTATAGAATTTGATGTGCTGTCACCATCTCAAAATGATTTGGAAGACATGATCTCAGGGACATTAGAATAACGATACAGTATGTAGTTTGAGACTTTGCTCCTGTGATGGAAATATTATTGGACGTTTAGAGGTTAAGGTCAACACCTGACAAAAATCTGCCCTACATATAAAGAGAGGTATGCTTTGCAAGAAGAAAAACATCCGACCCAGCCTGCAAACACCTACGTTCTTAATAGGTGTACAAAAGCATTTGTTATATGCGTTTGGGTAAAAAAAAAATCGAAAGATTGCCAACCTTCTTTGCAATAAGACGTGTCGGTTGATATTTTCGTCAGAGCGAAACCTCGATATTCCCTTCCATCAAATAAGATATCAAAATGATTATTGTGCAATTTGGTATGATCACTGACCTGCGTCTTTGTGAGTTCCCGGATGTGGGTGAAGCGATATCCAGTGAAGTGTGACGCCAGCTGATTTGAATGCCTCTGTATTAGGATGATTTGTCTGATTGGTACTGAAGACGATGACCTGTTTTTGTGAAGGAGTCGATTCCGGAGAGAAAAGCTGAAAGGAAAAATAATCTGCTTATGAACCTTCACCTCTGAGACTCATTCAGAAGCTGATATTTCGTATATAATGCCTCTGTATTGATTTGATGATGTGCAAACGGGGTACCTGTTTTACGCCGTCATGGTCTATATTTGACAAGCCGTATCCCATATCTCTAATGACCTTGGGTGAGTCTTCTGTTTCTCGTTCCGACCTGGCCAGTCGTTTAGCGCGGAGTGCGTTCTCTAGACCCCCGGAAAGTAGAATCTCGTGGTCCCTCTGGCCCTGACTCGCCCCCAGGAAGTGGGCTACTGCTTGGGACAGTTTCAGGCGACTGGCGTCATGCTTCAATGAATGAGGTTCAAATAATCAAATGATGACATGTTTGATGAAATAATGACGGAAGCCAGAGACGATTTTTTCGAGTCTGACTGATATATGTCAATAATATTCACAACAGTCGTTTAAATTAATGAAACCACGTTAACTTATACATATTTCATATGAAAATTGATAGTTAATGTTTGTAATCAATAATTGTAAACCTATGGTCAATGATTTTGTAAAAATATATATTCAATCATTTGCAATCTGATTAAAACCATATCCTACACCCGATGGGTACCATATCAGGTGTAGAATATGATCTTAATCAGATTGAAAAATTAGAAATGTTTAGTAATTATTGATATATATAATAATAATAATATAATAATATACAACATTTATATAGCGCCCTATATCATTTGTAAAACTACTCTAAAGCGCTTTACAACATATGGATAATAGTATTAGTTATAATTGTGAAACAAAAACAAAGGCTTACAATCACTTTTATACATTAGGCAAACAGATAATCATCGCAATGTGCACATAAATAAATAAAGGATGGTATTTACATGACGTCTTTGCAAAGAGCCTAAAATGCAGACGTGAAGAGGTGAGTTTTGATGTCTCTCCTGAATTTGGCCAGGGTAATTGATTTTCTAATAGCAGATGGTAAGCAACGAGTACGAGTAACCAGCCGTGCTGCAGTGTTCTGAGCCCTCTGCAGACGACTAGTTAGTTTGTCAGATATACCACAAAGCAGGGCGTTACCATAATCCAACCGAGAGGAAACAAGTGAATGCAGCAAAATCTTGAGTGCATCAGCAGTTATAAACTGCCGGATACAGCCGATGTTCCTGATCTGGTAGTAACAGGATTTGGCAAGAGCGTTCACTTGTTTCTCCATGTTCAGTGAACTATCAAAGTATAGCCATGGGTTTTTAACAGCTGGGACTGTCTCAATAGTTCTGGCACCGACCTTGGGGAAAAGACGATTAGTTCCGTCTGTTCCTGATTAAGCTTTAGCATGTTGGCGTTCATGCAGGTACTGATATCTGTCAGACAAGCTTCCAGATTTTCTGAAAATATATCCCAACTGTCCTGTGATTTGATGACCATGTAAATTTGTGTGTCATCAGCATATCAATGATAGCGAAGACTATGGCGACGACAAATCTTTCCGATTCGTTTGGAGTACAGGCAGTCTCAGTAGAGTGTCCCATGCGGTAGGCCGATTGCAGGTTGTCAAGCATGGAGATAAACCTCTAAACGCCGGGACACAACCTTCTCCAAGATCTTATACAGAAAAGGCAGATTTGATACTGGGCGGTAGTTCTTCAACTCCTCCTTGTCCATTCCAGGCTTCTTCAACAATGATCTAACATGTGCCTTTTTGAAACACAATGGAACCTTTGAATCAGCCAATGATTTTTCATGATTGAGGTAATCAAAAGAAGCAGTGCTTCAAGACATTGCTTTAATAGGTTTGTAGGCAGTGGATCAAGCTCACAGGTCTTCGATTGCGAGGTCATAGTGATATTGCGCAACTCGTCCTGGGTTGTTGGTGAAGGCTTTGTCAATGGTTCCCCATCAAATTCAATAGGATCAGTCATGACAGAGATATCATTGTCATCAGTAGAGTTCACTCATCACTGAACTTGTTTAACAAGTGGGGTTTTTCAGAATTACAGCTTGGTAAGATAATTTCACCCTTCTGACCCATTAGGTTTTTGGTGAGTCTAAAAAGCTGTCTATGATCCTTACCACATTCTTCGATTCTTTCCGAATAATAAACCTTCTTTGACTGAATGAGTAGTGAACCAACTAGCCGACATTGTTCCCTATAATTCTGTTGGAGAACGGTTAATTTGGTCTTTCGCCACTGTCTCTCTGCTTTTCTTTGGTTCTGTTTTTCTACGCGGAGATTTTTATTATACCACGGGGGGCATTCGGTCTCACAGTTATCACCTTAGTCTGTAGTTCCTCTATGAGGGCTTCTATACCACATGTGTATGCTTCAACAAGATTATCATCCCCGCCTTCAGTAGATTGAAGGGCGGAAGAAGACTGAATGTCATTGTTGAAATCTGGTATTGAAATTTCGCTGAATTTCCGGAAGCTCACTTCTTTCCTTACACGATCTGGGTTGCTACAATTCAATGTTGCGTGGACAGCAAGATGATCACCAGATTGGTTCCCCTTTACACCACTTAGACATGGATCTATCACTGAAATTGCTCCATGAACAGTGGCGGATTCAGAGGGGTGTTTTGGGTTTCAAGAAACCTCCCGACCCTGAGAACTTTCTTTAAAAAACATATATTTTCACCATTTTCCTCAATTTTTTACCACATGGAAACCCTCCCCTGGAAATTTGGAAACCTACCCAGATAGGTCTCTAGATCCGCCACTGATGAATTACTGAATTATCTTCCCTTGTTATGACCACGTCCAGTGGGTGGCCATGGGTGTGTGTAGCTTCTGTCACATGCTGAATCAGACCCCTGGAATCTAGTAGACCAGAGAACTGGCGAGCATCAACATTAGATATGTCGTCTTAGTGGAAATTTAAAGATACTTTACTTCGTTTATTCCAGTCTACTCAGCTATAAATGATTTCGTGTTTGGACAGTGCTAGAATTGTTGAATGCTAGTTGTGAGCGTCAAAAAGGCAGCACCGGCTGTATGCTCCCCAGGGAGTTGAGAAAGATACTGGCTGGTTGCAAAGGCCCTATAACCACGGATGATAATTTGTGAACCGCTTAGAGACGACCTACGAACTAAAATGTGATAAAGCGGTATATTAGAACCTCAAATTATTATTATTGTTATAAATTGTTTATCATCAGCAATGACAGAACAAGTCGTGTGCTCAAAGCATGTGTATACATCATCATGGCTGAAAGAGAAATGTCTTACACTTAGGCCTTTCTTAAACAGAACAGCCACCCACCACCACGCTTGCCGAGCCTAGCATTGTGGAGGAATCCATAGCCTGTTGGTATTAGCTCAACCAGTACCTGGTCGTCGATATCTGAACCTAACCAGGTTTTTATCGGTGATTAGTGATATATAAGATGCCAATTTTTTCCTGAAACCCAATTGGCTGGATCATAATCACGTGAAGATCGGTGATTTGCGATATTGATTATTTTAAGAAACAGCACGTCAATATTTATTTTATTACGTCATTATAATTGTGACGTCACAATGCTTTCTATCAAATGCAGTACTTTCCTCTGTTCAATTTCCATTCTTTCCATCTTTTTAATGATTAACACATTATTTAACATCTAATGTAACAATTAAAGACTTCTATTTCGGTAAAAATGTGGTTAGTTGGACCTGAGAAAGTGATCATGACCTCGACTTTTTCTTAGCTAATGTCACTTTCTCAGGTTCATAGAACCACATAAAATTCATAACTTATAGATATTTACCTATGTAGACCGATCCGTGTCATTAATATTACCTGGATAGGTTGGCCCGTATTTTAAAGGTTACCTGTGTAATCTTACCAGTGTCCAGCACTATTACCTGTATAGGTTGACCCGTGTGTATAAATGTTGCATGTGTAATCTGACCAGTGTCCAGCAGTATTACCTGGATAGGTTGGCCCGTGTTTATAACTGTTATCTGTGTAATCTTACCAGTGTCCATCAGAATTACCTGTATAGATTGGCAGGTAATTATAAATGTTACCTGTGTAATATGACCAGTGTCCATCAGTATTACGGACCTCCGTTTTCGGGCTGCCTTAATAAACGTAAATGTTGGTACGAGCTCCGCGTCAGTATAGTTTGTCGGTGGATTGCGACCCCCTGCGAAGTCCGGCGAGTTCGATATGACGTCCCATGTGCTGCGATGACTGCAGAGCCGGTTTTGACGATTAAGAGGTTCAGCGTTGTGTTTAGTTGCGTAATCGGCGTCGTCGTCACAGAAACCAGTGATCTGAGGATTAGTGACAGAATACAGTTATCCGAGGAATAATGACGGTAAACCATATTTGTTGAGGAATAATATGACAAAAACCAAGAGGAGAGTAAGATTAGCATTATCTTTTTTAGTCTTCGTTGTATTTTAAAATATGTATTAGAAGGAAAGAAAATATTGTTGAAATAAGTCGCTGGGAGTGTAATCTTTAGTACTGTAATGTACTAAAAACCAGAAATTCATTTGAAGTGTATGGTCTCGTAGTTATTGGGTTTTTTTCTCGTGTTGAACATTGTCTTTGCTCTTGGGCTCAAGGACTGGTGCGTCCCTAAACAACAAAATACATCCGTTAGTTCTGTCTCTGCAAAACAAAAAGGAAACCTAATCACCTCGCCAGAGATAACGGGTGGGCTCTGTTTTAGGGGAAACACTGACCTCCTGAATGTACTGGTGGTCCATCAGAGACACGTGCGTCTGGACACCGGACGGATAACGCGGGTACGCATAGTACTGACAGGACTCTGTGTATAGTCCAGTACTGGGGTCCGTCTGACACGCCACTAAGTTATGTTGATCGTCTCTAGCATACACACGTCCCTTCAGGAGGAAGCTGCACTTGACGGCGTCGACTTTTGCAAAGGCTGTTGAGAAGTAGAATGTTCGCTCCCCGGCACTAGGATACTCCTGGAACACGCCCCACCGGAACGTCGCCCACTGGTGCACAATGAACTTGTCTACAACATGGCAGGTACAAAAACCATGTTTGTGTGCTTCGAAAAAGACAAACCAAGGAAAATAAAGTTTTTCTACTTTAGAAGTCCTCTCTCATTTGAGACGCGTGACAAGGTGGTATTCGTGTTGTTCGCGGCTGACAAGTGAGGGAGATTTAAAATATCGTATAAAAAGCCACAACAATTTTACGCGTGAAACAAAATTTTGACTGGTCAACATGTCATTGAGGTCAATGACGTACCATTTTTTCATTCTATCAAGATAACCAATCAATGCAATGAACTAATCGTCCATTTTGAGTTATATTTTAAGGTTTCAGTTTTATCGAAAGTATATTTCATTATTTTTTGGCAGAACTGTTTATTATTGCTTGACATTCCCCTTAATCATGCAGTGTTGCTTTTCGATTGGTTTACCGTGTTTTGATAAAATACGACTTTGGATTTGGAAACGGACTGAAACATTAAAGTGTATATCTGATTTTTTATTCAAGTTAGAGCCATTTAAAACATGAGCATCCAATTGACGGAAAGTTATACAGCTATTTCAGACTTAGAGCAACAAAGGTGACAACACTTTTATCTTTGTTGTCTGTTATAAGATATTTCTTGTTTAATAAACAAACCTGAACGCGAATAGTATGGCGGGTACCTTTCCTTAAACAGGAAGTCGGTAGTAAACTGAATATGTATTCCTTGACTTCCGCATCCGCCATACGTCCGGGTCTGTGGGATGCTCCGCTTCTTTACGCTGGAGCTGGTTATGATGACGTCAGATTTGTACACGGTCTGGTCTGCACTGGCGCTTTGATAGCTGGGGTCGTCTGGCCATGTGTGCGGGACCAGGATCCTTATGTCCTTAAAGTACGCCCTCTGGCGGGTGGCGATGTAAAGTACCTTCGATGCCCTAGTAAAATAGTCCTGGTAATAAGAAATTAAAATCAAAGTCATTTTTTCTATGTAAATAAGGTATGTTAAGTCCCAAAATATTGTAGGAGTGTTATGTGGCGCAATATCTGTTTTACTCAACGCCACTTACAATTGGAAAGCTAGGACCCTTTACAATTGTTAACAAACTATACCAAATTTGAATTAAAAAACGAAACACATAAGTATATAGCAATACCATAAATGATTATCAATGCTATGATACGTTCATAGGTTACTGCACTATACTACAACTATTAGCAGACATTTCTCATTTTGACCTACAACGGAGCCAGAGTCGGACAATGAAAGTAGTAAAATCAGGGAACATCTCAAAACGCGTGATGTCAAGGAACAAATTATCCGAACAAACTATAGATTATAGTAATACAAACAGGAGCCACTTGATTGTGCAACATTACCGAAGAATTCTTGAAACGAAACGCTCTGTTATCTGTTGATTTACTAAAATTACCAACATTAATTTACAGAAGACTCAAGGAACACACAATACAAGTATACAAGTCATCACACTATGGCTACGACCAGAAAGTTGCGGAGCTTTTTCTAGATTTAAAATCCACAAAATAGAACAATGGAAACGACTAATCTCTACAAAAGATAAAAGGTAGAATTCTCTTTTCAAGCAAAGAGTGGTAGATCATCCAAACTCCCTGTCAAACACTGTAATAAGTTCGTCCACATTTCAACTTTCGAAGCTAGGCTAGACGGCCACTAGAGAAACTTCCAATGTTATTACGAGTATAAAGCCAGCCAGAATAACGCTCGAGGGGCAACAAGGATGAGCTCGATAAGGAAGCATTGGGATTGCGTCTTTCTGCAAAGCCTGGAACATTCGTGAAAGGTTACCCTTTGACCCTTAACTACAAACATCCCTGTTTTACCAGGTACCCGTGATTGACTCTGACCATAGTATGTCTTACCATGGTTTTGTTGATAAACACCTGGCTGTGTGGAATGGTTTCATCGAAGGCTAGTAGAATGTCGCTATAACCATTGTTCTCGAGTTTAATTTCGGATTGTCTTGAAATTGCTGCCAGTTTGTCGATCCCTACCAGGTAAAACAATAGGAGACCCAACAGTGAGTATGTAGACATCTTGTTTGCTTCAAAATCCCCGAGTCGGTGATCCGGACATACAGTATACTCATGGGTTGATCACAGCTCGAAATAATGTAAAGTTAGTGTACACGATAATTTGTAGAAACGAAGTAAAATGATTTAGTGTAGAGATAACTTAGATATACGTTAGTGTCCGTATCTGGGTCACGTGACCTGCATGCGTGCGTGGCTACAGTGAGATTGGTGACGGCGGCTCGTGTCGTCACCAGGATAACAACACCGGAACTCATTAGCGAAGACGTGTGTCCATGTTACATATTATATAATCTTATGGTGTAATTAGGCGAGTAAAATACAAGAATGAAGAGAAAAATTATATGAACATTTGGCACCGAAATGATTTGATTATAAAGTTTACAATTCACATGTTTAAATGACAATTAATCCTTAATGTGAATGATGACGGGCTCCGCTGATTTTCTCGAATACTTCACTATTTGAAAGTATAAAGTATTGTTAAATAATTAATATACTAGTAAATAATTCCAGAATAAAAGACTTTTTGAACTAAATATCACCAGAGAATAAAATCAAAAAATAAATCCCAAACAATGGCCAAAACTTTCAACCCTTTTCGCTGTATTCTATATAGGTTTCGCTATATTCTACATATGTTTCGCTGTATTCTATATATATTTCGCTGTATATATATATATTTCGCTGTATGCTATATAAGTTTTGCTGTATTCTATATAGGTTTCGCTGTATTCTATATAGGTTTCGCTGTATATATATGTTTCGCTGTATTCTATATAGGTTTCGCTGTATATATAGGTTTCGCTGTATTCTATCTTTGTTTCGCTGTATATATAGGTTTCGCTGTATTCTATATAGGTTTCGCTGTATTCTATATATGTTTCGCTGTTTTCTATATATGTTTCGCTGTATTCTATAGAGGTTTCGCTGTATTCTACACAGGTTTCGCTGTATTCTATATAGATTTCGCTGTATATATATATATTTTACTGTATTCTATATAAGTTTCGCTGTATTCTATATAGGTTTCGCTGTATTCTATATAGGTTTCGCTGTATATATAGGTTTCGCTGTATTATATATAGGTTTCGCTGTATTCTATATAGGTTTCGCTGTATTCTATATAGGTTTCGCTTTCTATATATGTTTCGCTGTATTCTATATAGGTTTCGCTGTATATATAGGTTTCGCTGTATTCTATATAGGTTTCGCTGTATTCTATATAGGTTTCGCTGTATTCTATATATGTTTCGCTGTATTCTATATAGGTTTCGCTGTATATATAGGTTTCGCTGTATTCTATATAGGTTTCGCTGTATTCTATATAGGTTTCGCTGTATTCTATATATGTTTCGCTGTTTTCTATATAGGTTTCGCTGTATATATAGGTTTCGCTGTATTCTATGTAGGTTTCGCTGTATTCTATATAGGTTTCGCTGTATTTTATATATATGTATAGCACTTTAGATATAGATTGTTTTATTCTTTGACTTCTGATGAACTGACGAGTCCTAATTGGAAAAAATGGTCATTGGGTGCATTCCCGATATCTAGGGGTTACGCTCACTTTCGCTCTCTGTGCCCCTGGAATATGTCATTGCAAAATTGAAGTTTAGTTTAGTTTAGTGTATTGTTTAGCGTCCTATCAACAGCTATGATCATTTAAGGACGGCCTCCCCTGTGTGCAAAATGCATGCGTGTAGTGTAAGCGTGTGTGTTTTGGGAGGCTGCGATATGTTCGTGTTTGTCTCTTTGTGATAGCGCGGAACTGATGCCGACTTTATAGTGCTACCTCACTGAAACATACTGCCGAAGACACCCAGCAGGACAACCCATCCGGTCACATACTGACTCCTAAATCGCTGAGCGTTAAGCAGGAGAAGGAACTATAAGTTTTACAGACTCTGGTATGTCTCGGCCAGGGGACAGAACCCAAAGCTTTCCTCACAGGGGCGAACGCTCAACTAAAGGCCAAAAGTGAGGCATCGCCAAGGGAGACATTAGGAAGAAGAAAGCGGTTTAGAATTTACAATCCTTACGCGCTGCCTGCAGGGACAACAAAATTGAAGACACAAAGATAGCTGTTTGATGTGGTATCGGATGAAAAAAACTTGACCAATCGCTAGGCTGATACCTGTCCTTTGAATATTATAGAGGAGCGACACCCGACTTCAAAGCTAACTAATTTTTACCGCTACGCGACTGCGAGATTCTTTTGATGTACGTCAAAGTATCGAACTAGTCCTCTTTTCTCATCAACAAGTTTGTGCACACTGAGCCTCCAAATTTTCCAGGGGTGCAGAGAGCGAAAGTGAGCGTTACCACTGGAGTACCGAGGATGACCACTACATACTGTCAGGGAAGCTGGATAATGATAATCGATTGTCTAAACACAAACCTATTTTAACATTCACTATCTTGCGCAACCCAGACATTCATTCACCAATTTAGAAAGGGTACACTCGTTCGGAAAAAGTCCTTTCTGGCATTTTCCATAGCACGCATAAGGATTTTGAAACAATATTTTCAGTTGACAAATAGTGTTGGTTAATAAACCTTGAGCGTACCATCAACACCAATATTCATTCATATGACTGGGTTAATCAGTATCTAAAAGCAACATGTATTAAGGTGGAGAAGATTGTAAAGGGTATTATGTTGAAAAACTTGGAAGCAATGGGTAAGTAATAACTGTGTAGCGGAACTGGACTATGTCGATCGTCGGTGACCAGGTAGCTCTTTCAAGATCTCCTGTTACAAATGTGGCGCCCAACGAAATATACCCATTGCAGGTGGTATAGGGTCTCGTGTGTCTTCGGGGTCGAAGAATTTGTTGAGGGAGGAAGGCATGTAGTGGAACTTGACTGGGTCGATCATTGGCGACCAGGTAGCACAATTGGTTAGAGCGTCCGTTTAGAGTGCAGAAGGTCCCGATTTCGAACCTTGGTCTGGCCGTTGCATTTCTTTTTCTTCTGTTACAACTGTAAGAAATGATTGGGGTGCTTCTGCATCTGAAGTAGGATTAGATGTTAGTTTCGACCGGCTTTACATAGCGATACCTAGGCCGCTTTCGTTTATCGCGATCCAAACGGTTTGACCAGATTTGTCCGTTTATGAATTTACGGTCGGACCTAGTTATCTGATGCTGCTTTCAGAAGAGTCTTGACAAAGCGTTTCAAGACCTGCATACACACTTGCAGGTCTGGCAGGATTTACACCCGAAAATGTTACATTTAAAAAATGAGCGTTTAAATATCGGTGTGCTTGTAGGTTTTTGATATAGTTCTATACTGGTAACAACATATACGAAAGCGTACTCAACTACAGAATAAATACATCTGTACCTATTATGTATATCTATAATGATAAAGTATAATACTGTAATTTAGAACTGTCCAAATGTCATTGTCATGTTTTTGATACTGCTGAGGGTAGTAAGGCTAAGGCATAAGGCAAATTACAGGAGTCAGTGTCAGCAGTAGAATGATGTTTCAAAGTAATATGTGAGTCAGAATCGGTAGACGTCGGACTGTTCAGGACAATGGCCTTTTTCAACGTTGAAGGGTATTTTTGTTTTGAGAGGTTTTCTTGGATACATTCCATGTTAGCAAGTCAAATGTACTTACATTCATATCATTAAGGATGTCAAGGAGCACAAAGATGATTCGGCGGCGTTGTGGTTAGACTTGGCTAACGCCTTTGACTCTATATTTCATTAACTCTTGGACCTGACACTGAAGGAGTGCAACGTGCTACGGAGATCACAGAAAACATATTTTATTGCCTTTTTAGCCAACCATCATCTGATGGTGGACTATTCAAATCACCCTGCGTCCGTGGTCCGTCGTCCGTCCTTAAACAATTCTTGTTATCGGTATTTCTCAAGAAGGACCAGAGGGATCTTTCTCAAATTTTATATGCAGGTTCCCCTTTGTCCTTAGCTGTGCAGGGCAACTTTTGAGACTGATCGGATAAACAACATGGCCGATAGGCAGCCATATTGGATTTTGATAGTGAAAGTTTGTTATCGCTATTTCTCAAGAAGTATCAGAGGAATCTTTCTCAAATTTTATATGTAGGTTCCCCTTGGTCTTAGCTGTGCAGGGCAATTTTAGAGACTGATCGGATAAACAACATGGCCGATAGGCAGCCATATTGGATTTTGATATTGAAAGTTTGTTCTAGCTATTTCTCGGGAAGTACGGGAGGGATCTTTCTCAAATTTTAAATGTAGGTTCCCCTTGATCCCTCGTTGTGCATATTATATTTTGAGACTGATCATAAAAACAAAATGGATTAAAAGAAGAACTAAAGAGATCTTTCTCATATTGCAATGATAGATTCTATTTCTTTTACATTAAGTACTGTACTAGTAAATATGTGAAAAGACAAACTCACTTTGAAGGTTGGCTTTCATACACATCAGTATTAAGTTTAGATCAAAAGTTACCTCAAGGTGCATTTACTGTTAACATGACTCGATCAAACAGAATAGAGAAAAGAAGAGAAAAGATCGAACTGACAAAGAACTAATGAAGATGGTACAAAGGTGGGCGCCAAGATCCCTCTGGGACATAGCAATGGAATTGGACACAAGTTGTACAACTTATATCAAGCCCTTTCTCTGTACAAAAATATTGTTTTAACATTTCATGACGGCAGAACTACGTAAATAAGATTTGTATGATAAATTAATTAATAAGTTGACATACATACACACACACATTCACACGCCCAACCACACGCATGCGCACAAATATAAACATGCACATGTAGATAAAGGAAGAGGGAGAGAAAGGGGGAGGGAGAGAGAGAGGGAAGAGGGGGTCAGAGAGTCCGATTTTTTTAAGATGGACGACACGACAGTCCACAGCTAGGACATTTGAGGACCTGTAGAAGGTGGCAAGGTGTGTCTGGATTTTCAAGGACCTGTAGAAAATAATAAAACTGCACCTGGATGTCTGAGGACCTACAAGAAGGTGGCAAGCTGTGTCTGGGTTTTCAAGGACCTGTTGAAAAAAATAAAACTGCACCTGGATGTCTGAGGACCTACAAGAAAGTGGCAAGCTGTTCTGGGATTTTTGAGGACCTGTAGAAGGTGGGGGAAATTGTCTTGATGAGGTTTAAACAAGTTAAATCTGGTAGTTTAGTTTCCATGGA